CTAAACCATTCCATAGTACCTTCAGGAAAAAAAGCTCTAAACCGTTTGGTACGTTTGACATGAATTATTTCTTCTACACCATGCCATTTTTCTTTATAAATAAATAAATTAGAAATCATTATCAGAAATTTATTAAAATATATTATTTAATAAATACCTTTTTCTTGTTTTCTTCTACTAAGGATATACAACCAGAACGGAATTATAAAATTTGCGGAACTTATAAAAAACAAACTCGTCCAATTGGTAAATACATTTAACCAATAACCGGACTGAAAAGGGATAATTAGAATCCACGGAAATATCGTAGAGAAAATTGCAAGATTCTCTATTAAAAATGTATATATTGATATATATGCATATATATATTAATATAAATAAGGAAACCATTAATTCATAATATCGATATATTTAATTGATTTTAATAATAAAAATTGATGCACTGCCTCCACAAAATCCAGTTCGAACCAGATTATAACGTATAACAATAACGTTTATTGGTACGCTAATTAGTAATATAAATGGAAATAAGTAAGTAGAAAATCCAAGTATATTGTTCCTTAATTCTGATTGTCGGATAGAGGCTATTATGTTTGTTGATAAATCTAAATCAAATGCCATTGCACCAAGGATTCCCAAGGAAATGTAACCGAATGTAGAAATTGCTATAGATGTATAGACAATTTTTCGAATAGATCCATCTTCTTCCTATATGATTATGTATAAAATTAATAAATTTTGTTACATGTATTTGTCAAATATTTAAAAAACTTTTGTCGAACCAATTCATTAGCAAGACTTGGAACAGTAACTATAAAGGCATAGTTAAACAGTATGATTCCCACTGCTTGACTTTGATTTTCTCCAATAATGGGAATTCGCTTTGGTTCCAATCCATGTAATGTAAGTGCCACAATCCATGCGAAAATGACAAATATTATTGTCAAAAATGATGCTGCAAATAATTATTTAAAAATTTACACATAATAAAAAGAAGATATTTTATTTGAAAAATTTAATATCTTTAATAATTTACCAATTTGTATTTTAGCATTATTGGATAACCTCATCCATGTCATTGGAACAACAAACAACAATGTTGTCTAATAAATAATTTATATATTAGCATATATACAAATATATTATTAAATTTATCAAAATACCTTTTAAAGAATATTACCATAAATCCAACGGTGAACAACATCCATCGTTCTCCAAATGGGCTGGCCTCATCACCTAATTCTCTAATACATAACCATCCAGAATCCGGATATATACCAACTCCACAAGTAACACCAAATAGTGTAATATATAAACTGTCCAAAGATTGTGCTGAAAGGATAATCGAAGCAATTATAAATGATTCAATTGCCAAATAAACTATTATTTGGATAAATGCACGTTTATATCTATTTGTTATCAGGGTCGCACAAAGATTGGAATATTCTATTCTTTCCTGACATTATAAATTATAAATTAAGAGATTAAGGTACTAAATCTTACACTGATCAATATTTA